CTCCCCTCCCCTCCCTTTGCCTGCCTGCCTGCCTGCCTTTCTTTTTTTCTTTGTTTTGGTCTTTTTGAGACAGTGTTTCACTATACAACTCAGGCTGGCCTTGAGCTTACTTTGTATCCCAGGGTGGTCTCGAACTTGCAAGGATCCTCCTGCTTCAACCTCCTGAGTGCTGGGATTACAGGTGTGCACCACCATGACTGACCACCCTACCTGTTTTGTTTCTACTTTTAATACTATCTTTTGACTCCTCTTAGTGCTAGCTGGATTTGTCCCCCCACTCTCTGTAAGCCACCATGATGAGGCTGGACTACTTCCTCAAAGTCCCCTACAAGTTAATTTTTTTTTTTTTTAAATTCCCTTAGAAGTGCTTTTTGTCTATTCCCAAGAAAATGGGAATATGTTAAAAAGCAATGAGAGGCCAGGGAGATGGCTTAGTAGGATAAGTGCTTCCCTGGCAAGTGCAATGGTCTGAGTTCAATCCCCGGTTCCGCAAAAAAAAGCCAATGAGAAGGCTCTGCTCTAATGGGTTTATATGGTAGATGTATTAGCATATGGTATTAAGAAGTGTGTCACAGACACCCAGATAATAGGGCAAACTAGCAAGAGCAGTTTAGGCCAAGTGGTGGCCTGTGGGGCTCTTGAGTTCATGGACACCCAATTCAAGCATGTGGGCTTGAGGGATGGGCGGCTCTAAGGTGAAGTGGGCCAATTCTCTGAGCCATGATTTTTTTTTTTTTTTTTTGGTGGGTTTAGGATTCCTTCAGGGCAGGTCTGATTTGGCTTGAGGATCTGGGGATTGAACCACAGAATCCTGAGCCTGACTGCTTTGTTTAAGCAGGCACTTAAACAACTGAGCTAAGAGGCAGGCCCACTGAGCCATGATATTGAGAGAGTAGAATCGGGTAGCTCCTGAGATTAGCCTTCAGAGCCTGACATATAGTGGAATTTGTTACTGAACTGAGTGGCTGGATAGTAGCTGTGTTGAGGGGATGCTGGATTGTCATTTGACATGTCTGGTGGTTCTCACTGTTTGGAGGCTGAGTGGGCTACTGGATGACTGTACATAGAACAGTGAAGGGTGACACTCAGATCCAGGCTATGCAGGAGAGGAGGAAACTGATGAGATGTTGCTGGGGAGCGAGGTCAGTTTTGTTCATATGGTAGGTTGCCAGATAACTTGCCAGATGTGACTCAGTGGTCAAATGCCTGGGCTTGAGCAGGGGATTTGTCCCTATGCACCTGATGACAGGACAGGCAGTTTCTCAGGGGCAAGGTTCAGAACAGAGTGGTATGGTGAAAGAGCAGTGGTATGCTCCTTGGGAGGTTTCCCCCTGTAGTCTTCTTAGGGAAGAACAGTGGTATGCTTGAGGGAGTGGTGACCCTGTGGTCGAAGAAGGCCTTTGTTTGTGGTTTGTTTTAGGTCTTATAGCATGGTGGCATTGAGATTAGTCCTGCTATCTTCCCAGTATCTCCCCTCTGCTGGGACTGCTTATCAGCATCCATCAGTAAACTTTTCATGTTCCCTTTTGTGTCGCTTTAACCATGGGGCTGCCTTGATCCCTCTGTCATGTCCTGGAGAGCTGTGTGTGACTCTGCCCCTCTTTGAGCCCATGAAGATCTCTGGCTGAAAGACATCCGAAAGTCCAGGCCAGGGGTCCTTGTAAGCACTCAGGATGCTGCTTCTTGTTGATTCTGAGCCTCTTCCCTGGGTATCTTTGTATAACTACCATGAAATGCCAGAAACAGCCAGTTTCTGTTCAGATGCCTGTTCAGCTCACAGTTCTGAAAATCCAAATGACATGGTACAGGCAATGACCCTCTGGCAGGTGGAAATAGCAAAAGTTGTGCAGAGGAAGCATCATATCTCCAGCCAGGGAACAGAGACAGTGGGTGGGGTAGGATTTGCTTTTGTTATGACTGCCATCTCAAGAACCACCAAGAGCCAGGCATGGAGGCGCATCTCTACAATCTTAGCACTTAGGAGACTGAGGCAGGAAGATCATTGTGAGTTTGAGGCTAGTATGGGTTACAAAGTGAACTCAGGGGCAGCCTGAACTGCATAAAAAGACCTTGTCTCAAAACAAAAATCAAAAACATGTTTAGAAGTACTTTTTGTCACCCCAACCCCCCCCCCCAAAGCAACAAAACAAAACAAATCACCAAGATGTGCAGGTGAACTGTCTTCTGTCCAGTGAGCTAAGGACATCCCACCAGATCCCACCCGTGAAAGGTTCCACAGTTTTCCAGTACTCCCTCACTGGGGACCAAGCCTCTAGTCACATGGAGAACATCAAAACACATTTCTGAACAATGGACATACTACTATACTTCATTTTCTTCAAAGGTCACAGGTAATTGGATCAGGCTGCAAAGCCCAGGTGAGAATGGTCTTGCTATCTGACTTCCACATCAGACTGACAAGACAAATTTTATTCAGTTCCCAGCATTACCACAAAAATAATAAAATGACAAATTCCAAAGCCCTAGAAGGTTGTGAGGGCACACTAAAACCCACAAGAATGAGAAACTCAGGGCTGGCGAGATAGCTCAGTGGACTAAGCACCTACTTTGGCAAACACAGGGACCAGGGTTTGATCCCCAGTCGTGCATGCCAGCGGCACGCTGAGCCAGCAACCAGGTCTGGGGAGGCTGAAAACAGGAGGATCACTATGAGTCCAAGCTGCGTAGTAAGACCCTGTACCAAATACAGCAATGGGGGAAATAAAACAAAGGAAAACCCAGGGACTTCTGCCCCATTTGGAATCCGTGTGTGTGTGTGTGTGTGTGTGTGTGTGTGTGTGCGCGCGTGCGCGCGCGTGTGTGGTTTTTTTGTTTGTTTTTTTGTGGAACTGGGGATTGAACTCGGGCCCTTGCGCTTGCCAGGGAAGCGCTTATTCCACTGAGCCATCTCCCCGGCCCCTCTGTGTGGTTTTTGAGCAATCTCTTGATATGTAGCCCAGGCTTGGACTACAACCTGGCCTCAAACTTATCACTTATGGTGATCCTCTTGCTTCAGCCTCACACGTGCTGGAATAATAGGCATGTGCCACCATGCCCAGGTCTTTGGTGTGTATTATGTTGAAAAAGAAAAGAAAATGAAACTCTTCACTTGAGGAAATGCCTAAATAGAACACCATCCATTTAGCTGTAATTTCTAGTGGGGAAGAGAAGCAAACTGGGCTCAGATGCTGTTTCTCTCTGGCTGGCCATCTTCTTCCAGCTCCCACCACAGCTGATCTGCACCTGCTTGGCTTTGTGGTATCCAGTATGCAGTATGGAGTTCAAAATACTGCTTCTGGGCTAGACTCTGGTTCTGTCCCTCCTTTGCTTTGTAATCTTGAGTCAGATGCTTAATCTCTAGGCTGGTGCCTCTTACAAAGTGGGGATTGGGCTTGTCAGGCTTCCTGGCTCTGTTGACAGAACTGGTTTGTGTGAGGCAGGACAATGCTACCTTCTTCCTTGCCACTGTGGAGCACAGGCTGTAGCCAAAGGTTGGAGAATATTCTCAGGATATAAAGTGGACTGATTAGTTCTGAAGGAGCACACTTCATAAGGTAGATTACTGAGCAGTAATCCTGGGGAACCACTATGTTGAAGACTTGTTGATTACCTCTGCCCCACTGCTGAGTAGAGATGTGCTATGTGGGTAGACTATGTAGGAAAGAAGAACCATTGAGAGATAAGTAAAGGGCTGAACCATGAAGCTGCTTCCAAACTGTGCCCAAGTGTGAGCCTTGTACTTGGGCTTCACACAGGCAAGGTCTTGCAGCTAGCCCAGGTGGGTCACAGGTAGTGGCTCTGTGGGAACAGCCATTTTTTGTGAGGGAGTGGGCAGGATGAAGTGACGTGAATGGTACCCGCAAGACTCTACATTCCCCAAAGTAAAGGGAGCTTTTTGTTTCAGGTTTCTATCAAGCATTGTCTAAGTAGGAAGGTGTGATAGTCAGAGATACCCTGGATAAGGGATAGTTTTGGATAGCTTTGGCTATGTTCCCTTCCCTGTTGGGTCTGTCTTGCAGCTCTGGAGCCTCATTCTCTTTCCTTGATGGTAGTGCTTTGGCAGATAGAAGGCTGGCCAGGGACCCTAATTGCAAACCACCCTTTGTGACCTCCAGAGCTGCTTCTCGGGATAGTATTCTGAGATGTTAGGGAAGTGAAGTGCCTGGAAATGTCCAATAAGATAAGAGGCATAGTGAGTCAAGTGTGGTGGCACATGCTTATAATCCTAGCACTTGGGAGACAAGATGATTGCCGGAAGTTCAAGGCCACTCTGAGCTACATCGTGAGTTCATGACCAGCCCTAAGAACATAGTGAGGCCTGGTGTCAAAAAAAAAAAAAAAAAAATGTTGTCTGTGCCTTGACCAGGGGCTGCAGACCCAATATCCATTTCTGCTAGTTCCTTCCCACAGGTGATAGATGCCTCTGGTCACCATATGTCTAGAAGTACATTCCAGGCTAAAAGGAATAATGCTATTATGTTTTTAGTGAGAGATGCTGCGCTGGTGAGAAGTCCTGGTCTTGGAGCTGGGTCTGAGTCTTACTTAAAAAAGGGTGACTGTTGTGGGCCTCAGTTTGCATTTAATAAAAAGTTCTGTTCAGTGTGGTGGCACATCCTGATAGACTCAGCTACTTAGGAGGCTGAAACCAAAAGGGTCACAAGTTTGAGACCAACCTGTGCAATTTAGTGAGACTTTCTTAAAATAAGAGCTGGGGACATATCTCAGTGGTAGAGTTCTCAGTTTGATGCTCAGTACTAGGGTTTGGGTGGGGGAGTGTTTCTTACTGAACTATTAAAGTTAATTTAAAAGATTTTTCCATTCTTCCTTAACTGTATCATATTTAGACTTTGGCCTTAGCTATGCCAAAAATGGGGAATTACTTAAGTACATCCGCAAAATTGGTTCATTTGATGAGACCTGCACTCGATTTTATACTGCTGAGATCGTGTCGGCCCTTGAGTACCTGCATGGCAAAGGCATCATTCACAGGTAATCCAAAGCTGCAGGGTGGATATGCAAAACAGTCAGTGTGTAGACGAGGGCCCATGGCCATTTGACCTCTAAGCCAAAAACCACCCCAACCCTTGGGGTCAGCAGTAGGGTACTTTATGAACAGTAGGACATGGGTACCAGGTGATGGCTGCTGTGAGAGCTGAGCAGAGACTGGAAATCAAAGGAAACTGTATATCAGGAGTCCTGCCTTTACGTGCCAGGTCAGCATGGGCAGGTGTCTTTCTGCCAAGCCACCAACTCATGTGATCTCATCTGGTGTTTTTATTTGGCCTGTAGTGCTTTTGTGTATATTCTAGTGTTATTTCCCATGACTTTCTGATAAAGTCAAATTGGAAGTATTTGTAAGCTTTTTGTTTTTGAGTCAAAAAACATAGATGGTAAGTCAAAAAGTTTATTAAAATAGCACAGTTATAAAATGATACAATTTGAATCTGTTTACTGTAAACAATTGATACTTGTTTGGTGTGGACTTTGGACTTGTATTCTTGGCTGTTAATTTATAAAGATGGTAAGTATTCATCACTTCATTGTGTTTTCATTGAAGTATAGAGTATGTAATAATGCTGTTTAAGTATTTTATTTCAGATGTAAAAATCTGCTTTTACAGGGACCTTAAACCAGAAAATATTTTGTTAAATGAAGACATGCACATCCAGATCACAGATTTTGGAACAGCAAAAGTTTTGTCCCCAGAGAGCAAACAAGGTGTGTAAATTTTATTTCCATCAGAGCCCTATGCTTATGGTTAAGAGCAACTGCAGTGTCAAGGAATATGTTGTATTACAGCTTTTTGTAGGCTTCATTATAAATGCAGGGTCCGTGATCCCTTTGCCTGATCCCACTGCTGGGCTCAGGGTAGTGTGTGGTCTAGTGACTGGGGGCAGCGCCAGTTCTCCTGAGCATGCTGTGCCTGATCCTCTTCCATGATGCTTGGTAGAAGGTAATCATGGTCATTTGATCACCAGGTATTTAGCTGGCTTCTCCTGTGGATACTGTAAGTAGTGTCTGGGGAACATGTTCCTGGGATCCAAAGCCTTCTACCATCTACTCTTCTGTGTCCCCTTGAAGCCCAGTCACCCTGGTTATAGGGAGGTTCTAGAAACAGGAGGAGTGGGGGCTGACTTAGGTGCTGGTCGCTTGCTTGTTTATAATTGTTGACTCCTGAGCCTTGTCCCCTGGAGTGGCATGTAGTCTTGAATTGCATTGTGATACCTCTACCCAGGAGGACTAAAGTAGCTAAGAATCTGCCAGGCCTAGAAACTGGCCAGGGCCATCTTAGTAGCTGAGGGATGACCTGCTGCCTTTCCAGTGTTCACTGGATGGAAACCACACACTCTGGGTATAGAGAGGACATATGAACTCTTAAAAACTGTTCTGATACATTGTGTAAAGAAACAGTTACACTCTTATAATGCTTTGTAAGGGAAAGAGAACTGTCTTGTGAGTTAATAAGTAAACTTGGAACCTTGAGAGCCCAGGGCACCATGCCTGTAATTCCAGCACTCAGGAAATAAGGCAGGAGGATCACAGGTTCTGGGCTGGCCTACTATGTCATCCTACTTGATAAAACCCACAGTATCCCACGGGGCAGCAGGCTGGGACTCAGCTGTGAGTTTTGAGTTAGCCTGAAGTCACTCACCTGTGCAGTGCTCTGAATGGTTCTTTCCTCATATAGATTTTCTTCAGAATTTGACAGTTTAGTGAGGGCTACTCTTACTGCCCTGTAGCCACTTAAAAAAATACAAAAATTAATGAACAACTGAAATAGACTCTTTCAAGAAAGAAACTTTTTTCTTCTCGGAGAAAAAAGGGAAAACATACGTAACTCATTTTTAATTTTTCTTTTGTTTGAAGTAGTTCAGAATTTTAGAATTCACTAAAATTCTACATTGACTCCTTTATACTTTGTTCAGAGATGGTTTTCCCCAAAATCTTAAAAGCTCCCAATCTTGATGGGAACAAGCCCCACCAGGTTCCTTACCTCTACAATGGGTATGTTATATGCTCCCCCTAAAGAGAGACAAGTACCATCACAGAACTCTGTCTCAGTGAGTCTGGGTTGTTTTGATTGCAAAGGCAGGAGGTGAGCAGTGGAGTAGGGCAGCTAACAGGGGCCTATGAGATTCATGAGGATTTCCTGGCAGAGAGGACTTGTGTGACTTTGCCCTTACTGAAAGGTTCCATGGATGTGTCTTGGTAAATGTAATTTACTCACTTGAAGTAAGCCCCTTACCTGTCCCTGTCCTTGGACCTCTCTACAAGTGCCTTGGCAAAAACCAGAATGTCCTGGAATTTCAGGCTTGAAGTTTGTTTCTAGAAGCCAGTGTTCTGGAAAGACCTGGAAACAGATCTTTCTGGTGTTCAGCCAGGTGTGGGAGTTCTGCTCAGCAAATAGAAGAGGGGTCTAGGAGATAGAAGTGGGGCAACTAGGATGGCAGGGGAAGCTTTAATCACTGCAGCCGCTCTGCTGCTCTATCTGTGGATGGCCATCTTCTAGAGCCTTGTCCAGCTGCTGTTTCTTGTTCCTCTGTTCTGTGTATTCAAATGGCCTTGCCATCATTTCAACATGCCACCCCTACCCCCACTCCAGGACAAAGAAGGTTGCCTTCAAAATGGCAGGGTAGGGATGTAGTTTGCTTGGCATGCATGAGACCTTTAGTTCAATCCTCAGCAGCAGCAGAATGGATTTTCCTGTATTACAGAAATGAGGTTTGCATGCTGAGATGTTCATCCTCTCACTGCGAAGCATAGCTCTTTCCATTTTGATAGTGCTTGCTGTGGTTTTTATTATGGGCCTGTTCCTCATGACTTTTTTTTTCTCCCCTGACAGTGTTGGGGTTGGAACCCAGGACCTCATGCATGCAGGGCAAGTCCTCTGCTACTGAGCTGTATACATTCAGAGGCCAGCTTATAATTTATAGTGGGTATTGGGAAATGGTCCTGCACATCCCCCAGATCCTTGCAAATGCTATGTGTTTTTATTGCTTTTTGCCTATTTTGTTTTAATTCACATCTCTTTGGTTCATTACGTAGTTGAATGGTCTTATAGGTTATTAGCTCTTGGTTTGTTTTTTCTTTCCTCTCAGGAATCTCCCCAATGTTCTTGACAGTATTTTTCAAGCTCCTGGCAGGACACAAATGCACTATGAAGTCTTCATAGAAAACCATGTACTGAAGGGACGTGTACAGGGGCTGAGGAACCAACTGGGCTGGGTCCCTACAGCAGAGCTGTGGGCTTTCGGAGGGCCAAGGTGGGAAGAACAGTTCACAGTCAGCCTGCAGGCAGGACAGATGGTGATGCCTTGCCAGTCCTTGGAGCAGAGGGAGTTAGGGCTAGCTATTGTACTGCTTTTTTCTGTCCTACCACAGCTGATGAATTTTTTCTGTCCTTGGGTCCCAGCACAATCAGGGATCTCTAGTGATGTGTGGGTACAGAGGGTCTGCATACCAACTCTGCAGCCTATTGGTGAGTGTCACATAGGCTGAGCCTTTGGTTCTGGATGCTTAATCTTCCTTTGATTATGACCTCAAATACCCAAGGTGTTGGTGACTGAGGAGAGGGTGATCCCTGGCCATAGCTGTTTGTTGTGGCTGCCACATGTCCTGTGTTTTTAGGTGCCACAGTTCCAGCAGTAAGTACAACACAGGCAGGCCTGTCCTCATACTGCCCTGATCTGGTGACTGGATGATGGACAAGTGTGACAGGAACCTTCTCATTAGGCATCAGGTTGGAGGCACCAAGGAGGAGGACACAATGTCAGGGTCCAACAGGTGCCCTTAGGTAGGGCATGGGCTAGTTGGCTGCTGGGAGCACTTGATTTGCTTTAGGTAACACCACTGAGCTCCTGTCAGTTCCTGTCAGCTATGTTAGACCTTGACACCTGAGGAATGCACCAACAGGGCAGCTATTGGAGGACAATAGATTGTGTCTCCAAGTGTGACCTTTTCTCTTTCTCTTCTTCTCAGCCAGGGCCAACTCATTCGTAGGAACAGCACAGTATGTTTCTCCAGAGCTGCTCACAGAGAAGTCGGCCTGTAAGAGGTAACCTGTTTTTGTCCCACCATGCTTTTTCTTTCTGAACTAGCTACTAGGTTTCTTCATGAGAAAGTAAATTAGGTGACCTTTAAATATCCAAATTTGGGCTGGTGAGATGGCTCAGTGGTCTAAAGCACCTACTTAGAACAAGTTTAGCAAAGCACAGGGACTACGGTTCGATCCACCAGCACCACATGCCAGCCTGCCCCGCCCCCTGGTGGGCTGAGCTGCCCCCCCACACACAAATAAATAAAATTTTTAAAAAAATCCAAATTTGCTTTACTTATTTACTTAAAATTTTTATTTTTGGGGCCAAGGAGATAGCACAAGAGCCTGAGTTCAATCCCCGGTTCTGCAAAAAAAAAAAATATATATATATGTATATATTTTTTTATTTGTACATGTTTACAGTACATAATGATTACATTCTTCAGAGAGAGTTGAAAATATACATAACACATTTTAATCCTTTTTCACACACATGCCCCCCATCACTTGCAAAATATCTATCTCCCTATTTTGTATTGTTTTTTATTTTGCTCTTATGTTTGGGCGAACTCATTCACAGGAACTTAAAGAGAAAGCATGTGCTACTTCAGCTGTGTATCTCATTTATTTCACTTGACATTATAGTCTCAACTTGCACCTGTTTTCCTACTAAGTATGACTCGAGTTTATCCTTCTTTTACAGCAGAGTACTACATTGTGTGTAAAGGCCACGTTTTCTTTATCTATTCATTTGCTGATGGACATATAGGCTTCTACCAAGATTTAGCTATTATGAGTTGTGCCGATATAAACATGGCCTGTATAACATCACTGTGATGTCGTTAGCTCTTTTGGGAAAATATCTAGAAGCTTGGTTAAATGGAATTTTTGTGTTTAGTTTTTTGAGGAATCTCCATACTGATCTTCATAATGATTGTGCTAGTTTACATTCCCATCAGCAATACAGAAGGAGTCCTTTTTCCTTGCAGCCTCACCAGCACTTGTTATTATCTGATTTCTTGGTGATAGCCCTTCTTTCTTGAATAAGATGGAATTTCAGTATTGTTTTAATTTGCATTTCTCTAATGGCCAGAGATATTGAATATTTTTTTCATGTATTATTTTGGCCATTTGTACTTCTTCTGAGAAGTATCTATTTCAGTTATCCATTGTTTGATTGAGTCTTTTATTTCAGGAGGGTTTTTTTGTGTGTGTGTGCTTGGATTACAAATGTGTGCCACCACACCCAGCCCATTTTTTTTTTTTTTCCAATATTTTTTGGAGGGGCAGTTGCTGGTAATCAAACTCATGACCTCATGCTTGCCAGGTAGGCATTGTGCCACTGAGCTATATCCCCAGCTCAAGTTCTTTATGTGTAATAGTACTCTGTCTAAGGAATGGCTGGCATTTATTTTCCCTATTCTGTATGTTGTCTGCTTTGCTGTGCAGAACCTTTCTAATTTGGTGAGATACCATTTGTTAATTCCTGGTCTTATTTCCTGTGTATTTGGGGCTCTGGTCAGAAAGTCCTGTGTATACCTAGATCAGAGTTTTAACAAACTGTTTTATTTACCCACAGATTAGGTGTTGCTGTTTTATTTACATTTTTTATCCATTTTGATTTTTATCCATACTTTTTTTTTTTTTTTTTTTTTGCGGAACCAGGGATTGAACTCAGGCCCTTGAGCTTGCCAGGGAAGCGCTTATTCCACTGAGCCATCTCCCCGGCCCCTATCCATACTTTTTAAAGCATTTTTTAAATCTAGTTTTAGTTTCCTATGTAATGAGAGATACGGGTCTAGATTTAATCTTATGCACGAAGATAGCTAGTTTCCCTAGCACCATTTCATTAAAAAGACATCTTCTTTCTTCAACGTACATTTTTTTTACCTCTTTGTCAAAGATCAAATGGTTGAATGTGCCTGGAGTAAATATCCAAACATACTTTGAAAGAAGTTAGCATTTTGCTTTTTTTGTGTGTGCATATGGTAGTGTGGCTTGAATCCAGGGGTGCTATACACTGAGCCTCCTGACTTTCAGCTCTTATTATTTTTTAAGACTGTCTTCATTGAGTTCCTCAGGCTGGCCTCAAACTTGTGACCCCTTTGCCTCAGCCTCCTAAGTAGCTGGGGTTACAGGTATGTGCCGTGGTGGCTATTTTTGCTTTATAGTCTATATTTTTCCTTTACCACTCATGTGTGTTATTTTATTGTAATATTTTACATTTCTGAGTTGGCAGTTGCTTTTTATTTTATTTTATTTTTTATGTATTTAGTATAGGGTCTATAGAGTCTCACTGTGTAGATCAGACTCATAGTGATCCACCTGTTTTCAGCCTCCCAAGTGCTGGGATTATAGGCGCGTGCCACCACAGCCAGTCTCAATCGCAATCTCAGCACGCCCTGTGGGCGAGTCTGGCACATCATGCCAGGGATCGAGCCCTGGTTGCTGAGCCTGCCTAAACAGGTGCTTTAGTCCGCTGAGCTATCTGGCCTGTCCTGGCAGTTGTTTTTGATTAGAGATTTCACTGTTGTTCTTTTTTGTTTGTTTGTTTTTGTTTCTTTTTTTAGTGGAACTGGGGATTGAACTCAGGCCCTTGTGCTTGCCAGGCAAGAGCTTATTCTACTGAGCCATCTCCCTGGCCCCTTCACTGTTGTTCTTAAGGAAATGTGTTCAGTGGGGGAAGTGTGAATGCTGTGCTGACAGGCTAACTATTCAGTGTCACAGTTTCTGTAGGGGTAGGCAGAGGCCTAGGAGGGGTAGGCACAGGAAGTGGTTTCATTTAGGGGCAGCCTGTCCTGGGACAGCCCCCTAGTGCTAACAGTGCCAAGGGTGTCTGAGAGATACGACTGGGCTGTGGTGATAGACTCAGTCATGAACAGTAGAAGCACAGTGTGACATGAGGATTATAGGGACTGGTACTGGTCCAGGAGTGTGTTGTGTGTGCAAGATCATGGATTGCAGAGTGGAGAAAGATCAGTCCACAGGTCAGCTGGGCAGCAGAAAACAGGCCTGGTCCACAGCACGGAGGTGTTAAGGTGCTATCGTGGGATACTGAGAGGTGCATTAGAATCTGTGTTCTAGGTTTGGGAAGCATTTCTAGGTAACAAGTTCTCTGGAATGGATGTGTCTTCCTATCCTGGACTGTGAGACTCTGCTAAGTGCTTGTTTTGGCCCTGCCACTTGGCCTTGTAGCACCCCCTTATGAAGACTGTCCTTCAGTGCTGGTTGGTTGCCCTGGGCAGATGAGTGAGTGAGTGATTCTAGTTAGGCAGCTCACCCTCCTTCTCTTTCCATTTTTTTTTTTTTTTTAGGCAGGGTCTCTCTGTGTAGTCCAGGCTGGTCTTGAACTCATTATGTAGCTCAGGCTGGCTTAAAACTCTGCCAGTCCTTTTGTCTTCAGCCTTCTGAATGCTCGAAATACAAGTGCACACCACAATGCCTGTCTAGGTAGCTTTGTTTCTGAGGTTGAGAGCTTTGAAAACTCTAGGTAGGAGCTGAACCATGGAGACAAACTTGATATCAGAATAGAAGGATACTCTGAAACCTTAAATTTGGTATTCTCAGTGGGTTATCAGCCCCTCTCCCCAGCTTCATACAGTCATTAGATTTTGACTTCTATGGATCAGAACAGCTCCGTGTCAGAGCTGCCCAACAGAAGTTCTGCCTCTGGGGACACTTAGCAATATCTTGAGACAGTTTGGGTTATTGCAGTTGGGATGGGAGCGTTGTGGTAAGAAGCCAGGGATGCTGCTCAGCATCCTGTGGGATGGAAGAGAATGTGCCTGTCAGTGTCTGCATTGTGAGGTGGTGGATACAGTCTCCTGACTTTACACTTAACCTGAGAGCCATCTTTCCCTGATGTTGGTTCTTCCCCAGATGCTGAGCTCTTCTGCACTTAAGGAAAAGATCTTTAGGATATAAGGGGTCAGGCACACAAGCTACCTTCTGTCTACAGGAGAAATATACATACATATTGTTTGTGGGTGGTTCATGTTCTGTAGGAGGATATACAAGAAACAGACAAAAGTGGTTGTGTCTAGGTGCTGGGAGCCAGGTTGGAAGGGATGCATCACTGCATTGTTTTTGCTTTTAAAACTTTTAGTCTTGTGATAGTCATTAAAAATAATTAAATAAAAAAATCTTTTTGGGGGGATGTTAGCAATATGGGGATTGATCCCACCCAAGGTCTTCACATTAACCTATATCCCCAACCCTTTTTTTATTTTCTGTTTTGATGCAGGATGGTCTCAGAGGTTTGATCCTCCTTCCTCAATCCCCCAGAATGCTGTTATTATAGGCATGTACCAAAACATGTACCTTTTTTCCCCCTAATTTTAGAAGGATTTTAAGTGTTTTGTATGCTTATACATTATAAAGAATTCTTAGAAAATAAACCATCTTTCCAGCCATTCTTCTGTGCAGTTTATGTTTATATAGTTTCTATGTAAGTGGAATTGTATCCTGCTCCTCTTGATTGTGTGATGAACAATTTTCTGTTATTAAAATTATCTGTAGAGGGTTGGGTATGTAACCAGGGGTAGAGTGCTTGCCTAGCGTGCATGCACAAGGCCCCTGAGTTCAATCAAAAGTACCATGACCAAAAAAACAAAACAAAACAAAACAAAAACCTGTAGATATTTTTACCAGCAGTGCAGTTTTCCTGTCTCATGAGTTTGAGATGGTGCTAGTATGCCTCCTGTGTGCTGGCCACACTTGTGTGGGGTAAGAGTAGGGCATAGATGCTTTCCCTTGGGGGCACACTATCCTTCTACTGGTGGGAGAGATGGAATTGCCTATATGTGAGTTTCAGGAAGTGGTATGACTTGGTCCAATTGAGCATTTATAAAATTCTTGGTATATTCTACTTTCCAGAACTATTTTAGGGCTTTCCTGCTTGTTATTTATTTTATTTTATTTTTATTATTTTATTAACAAAATATTTAAAATCCTAAATTCATGATTATGATAAAACTTTGAGATACGTCATGGTGGTAGAAGCTAACCCAGATACTTGACTTTTCTTTTTTTGAGACAAGGTTTCACTGTACAGTTCAGGTTGGCCTTGAACTCACTTTATAGCCCAGGCTGGCTTCAGACTTGAAGCAGTCCTCCTGCCTTGGCCTCACAAGTACTGGGATTACTGGCATATGACACCAGGCCTGGCAGCTTACCCTCCCTCCTTCATCTGCCTGCCCACTCTCTTCCTCTCCTTCTTCCTCCCCTCTCCCTCTCTTTCTTCCTCTCCTCCTCCCCCAACCCCTTTTTGAAGATAAGATTCTTACTATGCAGCTAAGGCTGGCCTTGAACTCACCATTGTCTGTGCTGGCCTCAAACTTGTAATACTCCTGACTGAGCTCCTAAGTGCTGGGATTACAAGTGTGCAGCACCATGCCTATCTCCCAGAGCATCCTTACTGCTTGAATTCTTATGTTATGGGGGGACTCTGCAGAGTGGCAGATGCATCTCCACTGTGCCCTACCCTCTCTGCTGTTTCTACACTGGGGTGGTGGTAATGATGTGTGCTTTGCAGTCTGTTTTTTTTTCTGTTGTGCTCCTTACTTGAATTAAACATAAATAAAGCCAAGAACTAGTTACTGAGTTGAATGTAAATTCATTTGTTTAGATTCCCTTTTTTCTGTTGTGACTCAAGTTTCTAACCTGTTGTGTTTTTAAACCCACCCCAAGTATTTCACCTGCGTACCAGCTGGTGGGTGCTTTATTTTTTATTTTTATTTATTTATTTATTTATTTATTTATTTATTTATTTCAGAAGTGGGGATTGAACTCAGGCCCTTGCACTTGCCAGGGAAGCACTTATTCTATTGAGCCATCTCCCCAGCCCCCGATGGTGGGTGCTTTAGATGCCAGGGCCAAGGCAAAGCCTTCCCCCAAGGCCTGGCACTATAACTGATCTCCTTGTTTTCAGCAGTGGCTTTTACCCATAGTATACCAGGTCACTCACTGTCAGTATCCTGTGAGCTCAGTGTTTAGAGGAGTGGAAAGCAGGACTCAGAAAGAATAAAGCCTATAAAGCCATCTCACCATGCTCAGGGTGGATAGGAGAACTGATGTGTGTGATAGTGTCTTGCCTTCAGGTGAAAAGGTGGCAACCTCAGGGTCCCTGACAGCTGGGGGCTTGGAACATCTAGCTCCATTCTGGAAATAACTTAGACACATTTCGAACAGAACTGTTTGCTTTTTAAAATGGATAATCCAAATATTTATAAAGGATAAGCAGTATTTTTCACAGCTAATTTCAAAAGGAGAAGGATGAAGTCTGCTTTGTGCACATTTTATGGATGATCCTCTGCCTGGATGCATATTTGTATACACACCTGTCCTGGAGTGAGCACAAGCTGGTTGGAAAAGGATCTGGGTTAATTTCAACTATACCACCATGTGAAGACAGGATCCACTATTACTGCTGCTTCTCTATTTTGAGGGGAGAGAGGCAGAACCAGGGATTGAACTCAGAAGCTCTGATTCCACTGAGCCATCTCTTTGGCCCTGCCTCAGTAATATTGACAATAAACTCTGCTTTCCCTTTAGGATGGGACTGTGCATGTGTGGAAGTCACTAGCCCCTAGTGCAAGAGGCCCAGCTAAGGCCTGCTTGTAATGCCTAGCTAGTCTCTGATCCCAGATTTTAGTGGAGGTTTCCTACAAGGGCAGGTTCAAACCTCATACATGTCTAGTCCTAAGGGGCAGGAATACATTGAAGACTGAAACTAGCGGAGCATGGGGAGAGTAGAAAATGCACTGTGCTTGTCACTTGAATTTGTACCAATGCCATTTTTCTTTGTTTTTTTTCCCCCTACCTTAAAGTTCAGACCTTTGGGCTCTTGGATGTATAATATACCAGCTGGTGGCAGGACTCCCACCATTCCGAGCCGGGTAAGAAGCATTTTGGCTCCTAAGTTTGAGCACATCATATCATACCTCCTTCTGGCAGATTGGCAGAGTAGTTCCAGGGTCTGGTGGGCTGAGGAGGAGCTTCCCCTGTGACTCTCAAGTGCATAGGATGTGGTGGCTTGTGGGTGGCAGGGTAGTACTGGGTTGTCCTGGGAAGGTTGTACCTGGTACTGGAGGTTTGAAGGATCCTCCCTGAATGACTGCTTTTTTTTTTTTTTTTTTAATTCATAGAAATGAGTATCTTATATTTCAGAAGATCATTAAGTTGGAATATGACTTCCCAGAAAAATTCTTCCCTAAAGCAAGAGACCTTGTGGAAAAACTCTTGGTAATCATTTTGAATTTTCTCTGGTGAGGGGATTCTGGCCACACATTGCATTCTCTGACCCTGTGCTCGATGAGCTTCTTGGAGGCTGCTGTGTTGAAGGACAGGTATATTCAGGGTTGATAGAGATTGTAGATAGTCATGTCTTGCATCTGACCTCTTTATAATTCTTTACTTTTCAAGTACCTGGTTGACTTTAATAAGACAGGAAATTACTGTATCATTTGTATGTGCTTATCAACATTGCAGAGCCCTTTCAGTTAATGCTATTGGAGAGCAACTGGGCTTTATTACAGTGGCACACGGCTTAAATGTTAGCTGATGTCTGTTGATGTCAACTTTATAGTAAGCTACATGAGGACTTTAAAGATCAGCCCAGGTAATGAAATAAAATCCTAAATAAAATCAGATGGACCTGAGAAACTATTATCAGTTTATATTCCAGAAACTAAAATGTCCTGGCCCTGGTTGCTTTGGATGCTATCTGCCTTCTTACCTCAGTTCTTGGAAGTAGAGCCCAAGTTCCAAGATCAGACTCTTCCCACCCACTTTTGACTTACTCCTTAGCTCCCTTTGGTGGTAGCTGGGCTTGCTTCCTTGTGGATCTGGTGGGCACAGGCCTTCCTGTCCCTTCTTTTTATCTCCAGGAAGAAATGATGCTACAGCCCTTTAAAAGACACAGCTATTTAGCATCATGTCTATAACAGCTTACTGTACAGGCTTTTTGCTCTTTGCTATTAGAACTGGTCAGTTACTCTTTTTTCCCCCTCAAGTTGTAGGACCTTCTTACCATCCCTCCCTCCTCTCTTTGGACCATGTGCATGCTGGGCAAGCACTCACCACTGAGCTCTTTTTATTTTAATATAACATCTTGCCAAGTTGCCCAAGCTGGCTTGGAACTCACAATCCTCTTGCCTCAGCCTTCTGAATAACTGGTATTACAGGCATGTGCTACTGTGCTTAGCTTGTTTTAGGATTTTTATCTGCATATTTTATTATTTTGTTTTGTTTGTTAAGATAGGGTCTTCTATATAGTTCAGGCTGGCCTTGAGCTTACTATATAATTATTTTTTTTTGGTAATTACATATTTTATTTTATTTTTTGTAATTACATATTTTAAAAGGGTACTTGCTACCTGCTATATTTTGAAGAAGCTGTTGTCAAATTTATTTTCATCTGGGAGAGCCAAGGGATAGAGAGAGCCTCAGGGTGAGGCAGAAGCCCAGAGCAGCCTGGGGCCCCTCATGGCAGGAAAAGCAGGCCTGGCATGGGCCTCCAGGAGGCATTAAGAGTATAAAAGACTTTTACTCAAAAACATCCTTTTTGTCAGAAATACATTTTATCTCTGACAATAACTTGTCTTGATTATCACTTAAGGTTTTGGATGCCACAAAGCGGTTAGGCTGTGAAGAGATGGAAGGGTACGAACCTCTCAAGGCTCATTCATTCTTTGAATCCATCACGTGGGAGAATCTGCACCAGCAGACACCCCCAAAGCTCACAGCTTACTTGCCAGCCATGTCAGAGGACGACGAGGACTGTTACGGCAATGTAAGCCAGCACCCACAGGAGAGTCTGGGCAGCGAGAACTGTTTGTCATGCTACAAATGCATGGATCCTCTACACACAAGGGGTTCATGCCCTCATGCCATGGGACATGGATTTGTGTGATTAGTGTGAGCCAGCATTACAGAGCTATTAAGACACTTTCCTGCTATGTAGCTGTGCCAAATAGGCCTGGAAGGGCTAAGTCCTTCTTGTCATTTCCTCAGCTGTGAGTGATCTGCTGAGTTGTGCCTGTAGGGATGGAGCTGGCAGCCCATGCTGGGTGAGGGCACAGCACCCTGCCTGCACTTATCTCTGGGATCCTAGCACCAGGGCTCATTGGTGGCAGCTTTTGGCTTTGTGCTTTTATAATTATGTTTAAGATATTTATGAATGTTGCTTATCTGTAAGAGACACCCAGGCCCCTCCTGCTTTAAATCTGGACATGTGGCTTTAGAGGGTAGCTCCTAGTCAGTACAAATCATGCTTAGCAGGAGGCCTGCCTAGCCTGAAAGGTGCTCTCCAGGGTGTGTGAGCAGTAGCTGTCACTGACTTTGAGACTGTTTATCTCCCAAGGCTTGACTACAGGGTTTCAGTATTACCTTGTTACTAAAACATTTTCCCTTTTTTTGAGACAGGGTCTTGCTATGTGGTTCAGGTCAGCCCTGAGCTCACTCTGTTTCCCAGTGTGGCCTTGAACTGATGATGATCTTCTTGTCTCAGCCTCCCAAGGGCTGGGATTATAGGCATGTACTGCCATGCTCATCCTGTCTGGGCTTTTTAAAAATCATTCTCCATTGCGAACCCACTGTACTTAGAAGTGATTTTAGAAGTTCCTTATTATTAATATTCATTTTTCTGGTTTGATTGGAATTGAAATGTTTTCTAGCCAGTTCCTGAGCATAGAGTTTCATGTCAGTTGATTAACATTAGCTTGTACTGAAACACCTTCCAGAGCTACACTACAATCACTACTTCCTTGGCTTAGCAGCCAGATGGGTCAGTGGAGGAGAGTAAGATTTCCCTACACTTAGCAGAAGGGACAGACAGGCCATCTGCCTTAGTTGTGAGCCCACCAGGTGTGGGAGGGCCTCAGGGATAAATGCTGTGTGGGGATTTGACCCAAGAGGCACATTAAATTACCTTTCTCTTTTTCTTCTTCCCTACAGTATGATAATCTCCTGAGCCAGTTTGGCTGCATGCAAGTTTCATCATCCTCCTCTTCCCATTCCCTGTCTGCAGTGGATGCCAGCCTGCCCCATAGGTCAGGCAGCAATATAGAGCAGTACATCCATGATTTGGACACTAACTCTTTTGAACTGGACTTACAGTTTTCTGAAGATGAGAAGAGGTTATTATTGGAGAAGCAGGCCAGTGGAAACCCCTGGTAAGAATTACAGGGATAAACAGACCTCTGTATATAAATTCAGTTAGCAGTGCAAGCAGGTATCCAGCAGAGATGTTGAATGAGGCTTATAGTGACATCTTGGCCTTGAGCTGTCTAGCAGTTGAAGTGCCTTTTTTCTGAGACAGGGTTTCATTATGTAGTTCACATTCACCTTGAACTCATTATATAGACCAGGCCAGCCTTGAACTTATAGCATTCTTTCTGCCTCAGCCTCCCCAGTGCTGGGATTTGAATACTCTTAAAAAGAAGATACTCAAGGGATGATTGGAATGTGATATCTAGAAGACTTTGTAGCCAAGGGATGAGTAGACTCTCAGGTATCCTAGTTCTAGAGGGCAACTCATTCTTTTGCCAGATGTGGACTCCCTGTGATTAAAATAACTGTGGCCAGGGTCAGCCAGGTAGTTCAGCAACTAAAGCACCTGCTTAGGTAGATGCAGGGACCTGGATTTGATCCCTGGCGTGCATGCCAGCCATGGCCCCAGGGTGCACTGAGACAGTGAATGAGACTGGGCATGGTGGCGCACACCTGTAATCCCAGCGCTTGGGAGGCTGAAAACAGGAAGATCACCTCAAGTCTGATCTGTGTAGTGAGACCATGTAGACCCTGTACTAAATACATTAAAAGAAAGGAAAAGAAATAACTGTGGCCCTTTGCTGAGGCATTCAGAGGATTTCTGGTAATTCTTAAAAATTTTATTTATTTATTTATTCAAATGTATTCAGTACAGGGTCTACAGGATCTCACTACACAGATCGGACTCATAGTAACCCTGTTTTCAGTCTCCCAAGCACTGGGATTACAGGAGCACTGGAATTACAGGATCGTACCACCACATCCAGTCTCAATCAGCCTAGTCTCAATCACCATCTCAGTGCCCCAGGGATGGGGCCAGCATGGCACTGCTGGAAATTGAACCCTGGTCCCTGCAGCTGCCTAAGCAGGTGCTTTAATCCGCTGAGCTGTCTGGCTGGCCCTCATTCAGAGGATTTCTAAGGTTTTGATTTCTATTTGTATTGAGCAAGGCATTTTCTGTGTTCATTGGGCATTTATAGTTACGTTTTAGAGGTACTTTGTATACTTTGCATTAACTTATTTATTTAGGGGCAGAGTCTTGCTGTATAGTTCAGGCTGACTTTGAATTTACCACATAGCCCAGGTTGGCCTCGACTTTGTAGTGACCCTCTTGCCTCAGCCTCCCAAGTGCTGGGATTATAGGTGTGTGCCACCATGCCTGGCTCTTTGGATTTTTTTATTTTATTTTAGTTAATTTTTTCTGCAAAGCTTTATTCCAGAGGGGCCCATTCCTTCTTGGCATCTGCCTTCCTCATGGCAGCCAGCACATTGCTCAGCTCTTCATACTTACTCTTGGTGTGGATGTGTGTTCCCACCCATTTTTTGATGAACTTAAGGATGCATTTGTCCTTGGAGACCTTGAGCAGCTCCATGGTGTGCCACAAAGCCACACATCTCCAGGATCATGTCCCACACGAACTTGGTGTGTTGGGTCAGGCTTCCACGACAGTGACTGTGCCTCGGTTTGCTCATATTCTTAGTCACCTTGTCGCCCTTGTTGAGGCCCATGGCCATGGGATAGCATAGGGCCATGGCTACTGTTCTTTAATGGTTGCTGTGGCGGAAGAACTGGATCTTTAAAAAGTCAAATGTTTTTGATCTTTTAAAACATTATTTATTTATTTGGTAATGGGTCTCACTGTGTAGCTCAGACTTGTAGTGATCCTTCTGTCTCAGCTTCCCCAGCTCTGAAATTACAGGTGTGTGCCACCACACCTAGTTTCAGTGACCAGCACAGTGCACCCTGGATTCTGGGGCCGGCATGGCATGCAGTAATGAAGATTGAACCCAGGTCCTTGTGCTTGCCAGAGAGGCACTTAGACTGCTGAATTATCTCCCCAGCCCTAAAAGTCAATTTTTAAGAGCCATATGTATGAAAGATATTCTGTGTTGTATATTTTGTCAAAATTTTCCTTCCAGTGTACTCTTCAGTCTGTTCATAGTGTATTTTGGGTGGAAGTTACAGCTTCTTACAAAACTCAACTTGTCACTGTTTTGTTTTCTATCTTAAGACTTGTTGAAAATGGCCTCAATACTTTACCTACATTTTATTCAGGAGTTTTTTGCTTTTAAATGTTTTTTATGGGCAAATATAGTCCAGGGCAGTGGAGATCTCTCAGGTAGGCATGGGCTAGGATGGAGTGGGAAGAGAAGGCAGGCAAGAAGCAGTTGAGGGCTCAGTGAAAGGAGAAAGGACACAGGGTTCATAGGACTTTGGGGGAGCAGTGAGAGGGAAAGGAGCTAAATGGAGTATGCTGACACATGCCTGTAATCCCAGTACTTAGGAGGCCAAGGCAGGAAGATCACAGCAAATTCAAGGCCAGCCAGGGCTACATAAATGTGTTCAAGGCCAGCCTACAGTACCGTGTGAGACCCTGTCTCAAAAAGAAAGGAGCCAAGCTCTCAGTGGCTTTCCCAGCACAGTCCAGATTGAGGGAAAATCCTACATGTGGCTAAGATTAGGATGTCATGCCATTAGAAGTTATTGTCTTTAGAAAGACTTGAGTATAATGTCAGTCCTCAAAAGTACTCTCCAATTATGGGGAGTTTAAATTTGTCCTTTAATTCTTTGTTTCCTAAAATAAAGAGTTCTTTGGGTTCGAAAAAGGTTGGTGTTTTGTTCTGTGGTATTAGGGATTAAACCGAGGGAGTGCTAACCTACATCCCCAGCCCTTTTTAAATTTTATTTTGAGAAGGGATCTCACTTAGTTGCCCAAGCTGGCCAGGAACTTGTAATTCTCCTGCCTTAGGCTCCCAAGTAGCTGGGCTCATAGGCATGTGACAACATACTCACTTTGTCCTTTAAATGGTGATTTAAAAAAAATTATTAGTACGTGTTTATAGTACATAATGATTACATTTATGAGTAGTTGATACATGTACATGACACGTTGTAATTTTTTTTTTTTTTTTGCGGAACTGCGATTGAACTCAGGCCTTTGCACGTGCCAGGGAAGTGCTTATAGCACTGAGCCATCTCCCCAGCCCAATCTATGTAATTTTATGTCATGCAATAAATCATCATTTTGAGGGCTGGCCACATAGCTTAGTGGACTAAAGCCCCTGCTTATGCAGAGCACAGTAGCCGGGGTTTGATCCCTGGCATGCTGTGCTGGCTCTGCCCCTGGGGCATGCTGAGATGGCCATTGAGACTGGGCGTGGTAGCCCTTGCTTGTAATCCTAGCGCTTGGAAGGCTGAAAACAGGAGAATCACTACAAGTCTGATCTACATAGTGAGACCCTATAGACCCTGTACTAAATACATTTTTTAAAAAAATCATCATTTTGAAATCCTGAGATTTTTCTTGTACCCGCAAGGAAATATAAGAAGTAAGCACACATTTCTAGAGTGTTTTACAATAGTATTAAAAAGTTTTGTATGCCAGTCATGGTAACACATGCCTGTTATCCCAACATTTGGGAGTCTGAGACAGGAGGATTACTAGGAATTCAAGGTCAGCCTGGGTTTGCTGATGAGAGTCTGTCTCAAAAAACTTTTTTTTTTCATCAAGAATTTTTGGGGGCTGGAGAGATGGCTCAGTGGTCTAAAGCACCTA